TTACTACACCGGCCAGAGAGAACACGCCGCCGGCCGGGAGTTCTCGCCGGAGAAGGGGCAGATCCAGTAACAGCGTGTTACCTTCTTGGTACCCAAGAACCCCTCTCCAGGATATCAGTGCTGTTGTGAGGGTAAGAGTCACTTTCTTGACCCTTCTGTCTTTCTGTGCTGCTTGATTAGTTTATTGAGCGAAGGATTTAATTGCGTTTATCTGACGGTTGAATATGGCCTTAGTTTGATTGGTTTGATTTGATTGAGTTAATTTCATGTCTGTTTGATTAGTTTGCAGTGACCCATTTCTTGGTTGGTTTATTTAATGGCTCTTAGTTTAACTTGGTTTAATTTAATTGAGTTAATTTCATGTCTGTTTGATTAATTTGAAGTAATCCATTTCGTGGTTGATTGATATATCATATGGGTTTCACTTTTTCTTTGTTTGTAGTAATTGACGTATTAATTTTATTGTAATTTGTTCTGGGTTTGATTGATTCTTATTCTGTAGCAATTAATGTGTTGAGCGCATGTCTCCCTAAATCTTGATTTGTTGTGTTCTCTTGGACTGCATTAATGTCTTGTTGTCATGCAGTTTAGAATTTATAAAGGTGAAAAACACATGTGCATGTGTTTGGTGTATAGTAAGAATTTGTATAAAAATTTAGTTGAGTGGTTTTTTATTTTAATTTTTATTATGAGGAATCTGAGGTCCCAGTTCTCCTGGAAAACAGGTGGTTTAGCGTTAATTGTGTGTTGTTTCAGCTTTTATGGCCTTAATAGTGTGCACATTTATTCTATTGTATGTACTTTGTATACTAGTTGTGGTATAATGCATTGATTAGTTCATTGATTAGCTCATACTTGTTATACATATGAGTATCTCTTTCCATACTTCAATTGCCCAATTTAATACTTTTAAGCAGGCCATTGAAAGGAGAAGAGCACGCTTGGGTGAGAACGATGGCCAACACACTGAGGGTCAAGTTCCACAGGGCCGGAATATCCTTGATCAATATCTGCTAGTGCCAGGTGCTCAACTTGAGCATGGTGTTCCTGTTACTCCATATTCAGCTGTTCGAACCAAGCACTGCCCCCCTCCTTCTGTTGGTAGAGTGCAGAAAATTATAAGGGAAGCCACTAACACTCAGACTGCTGAAGGAGAATTTCTTACACCACAGAAGAAACTATTGAACTCAATTGACACGGTTGAGAAAGTGGTGATGGAAGAACTTCAGAGGCTGAAGAGGACCCCCAGTGCTAAGAAGGCTGAGAGGGAGAAAAGAGTTCGAACTTTGATGTCAATGCGATGAGGGAGCAACAACATTAGCATTGGAACATAGGAGATTGGACAAGGTTTAACGCAGTTGGGACTTATCACCTTCTGGTGATACAATACATTTCTGACCCTCTGTTAGACTTATCACCTTCTGGTGATACCGTTTTGATCCTCAGTTAGACGGTTATCATCCTCTGGTGATATTGCCTACCATATGACTCTTATCATCTTCTGGTGATATTGCCTACCATATGACTTTTATCATCTTCTGGTGATAACTTTACTTTGACTTAGCAGATTTTGTTTTTGTTTTGAAACTTAATGTGCTTAAGGTCTTAGTATACATGGGCAGTTATCACTGCTAAAGTTCTCAGTGTGAGGTTACTATATTCTTGTGTCTAGTTGCCATCATTCTTTGATGGTCTTAGCAGTAGATAAGTGGTTGAAATGGTGTATATATAGGGCCACATCTCCATCTTTGTTGTATTTGTTCAGATCATTTCTCATGTACAATGAGGCCAATTACTTTTCGTTTATGATGTGAAGCATTTGTTCTTATCAAATGCAGTTTGATTCTCTAATGTTTTGGGATTTGATGTTCATTCATAGATGCAGCTGTTAAATGTGAGAATGTCATTGTATACAATGGTTTTATGATTTGTACATCTAATTCGGAACTTCAGGTTCCAACACAAATCACGGAAACTTCGGTTGCTGATTTGAGTATATACTATGTAATTAGAAAAAAATGAATAAGTTGATGGGAAATACAATAACACTAAAATATTGAGCTAATACAGTAAGAAATTTATGGGAAAAACAAAGTAAGAAGGAAATATTTACCTATCACAGAGAAAGAAGAAATAAATCTAGCAGCAGGCTGAGATATGTCATGTCTAGATTCAGATTACTGCACACCTGCTACTTGAGTTCGGTTCGATTCAAAGTCAAGCCTCCTCCACATTTTTACTCTTACAGTTGGTAAGTTATATGGCCAAGTGGAAGAAGTGCAGTGAAACAGGGGAAGTGGGATTGTTTAATCCAAAAAGTGAATTAGTATTGGAATTATGTGGGACGAGTTTAAATTTGCCATTACCAATTGAAGTGATTGCAAAAACCAAGCTGCAAGCTGGTAGGGTAATGTCTTGTGGTATGGATATTCACCATTAACAAAAGATAAGAACCAAACCAGAGGAAGAACAAGTATTGGATGTTTGCAATGGTGGCAATCAATGCTCTACTTTCAGATTTTCATTAGCTTCTATTATTGGTTCATTATATAATAAATATTGAGTGCCGCTATTTCCACCCCTGTCTTATTTTCATATCCACCTTAGCTTCCCACCCACCATGTTAATTTTAAAAAACACAATCCTATCTTTCTACCCACCATTATCCTAAAATACCCTTTAATTATTAATTCAAGCAAATTCTCTTTGCTAATCATTAGTAGTTGAGTTATGAAGAGGTAAATTTGTGCCAGGATGGGAAGGGTGCTGAGGCGTTTGATCTACTAGAGGATCGATTTCAGGAAAGGGGATAGTAAGATGGGTGAAAAAACTTACAAGACTTTGTTAAATGCATTGCATTTTGTAAATGGGGAGTAATTCAATACTGGTCCTGTGAGTTAAGTTCAAGACGTATATACCTTATCCTTGTTTGGATTCATTTATGAGATTTGAAATCTCAAATATCATGAGATGCCGAGTTTTGACGATATGGTCAATGCTGATTGGATGCAATAATGTGACTGTGCCACTATTGACTATTGGGATGAAGATGTAATAGCATAGCATGTATGTTCTGCTATGCGCTTGGTGGCTCTCTTGAATCACTATTCATGGATGAGCTGGGATTGCTCAGAATGGTGGAGGTTAGTTTATGAATCACTATCCATGAACCAAACCAAACGTAGCGTAAGGGGAGTCTGCAATTCTGCATCAAATAAATTCCAACGTATTTGGAAGTGTTAGTTTAAGGGAGAAGAAGTTTAGAGAATGGTTGGTAGTGTTTAGGACAATTAGCTTAACTTGGAAAGGAAAACTTTTGAAAGAGTAACAAAGTAGTTTTATTCTATTGATTGAAATAGGAAAGATACAAGGCTTTAATACTTGAGTTGGCTGATGGCTAGAGTTGGACAGCTGTAGTTTTTTAGCTTAAGTACTTTGAGAGGCTGTAGGCTATTTATAAGAATACTAAGTCGGCAACTTTGCTTTGGGCAGAGTATCCGACTTTACCAAAGTTATTCTAAAAATCTTATCTGATATGAATAGTATTAACACGTAGGAACCCAAAAATATTATCCAAAATAATTGTTTAAGTAAAAAAAGTTGTGAAAAAAACAAAAAAATGAATAGTAGTTGCCATGGCAAAG